ATAAATATTTTATTTTTTCTAGCGCCACCAAAACAGTGCTTGAACGGTGTCGTGGCCACCCAACCACGGACCCAAAATTCAAAGCCTTAAACTGTCGGCCTTGGAAAACTTTGTCGAAGAATCTTCCAAGAACAAAATTAGCCCCTGGGGGTGGTGGTGAGTTGTGTACAAAATTCCTAAGTGGGAGAGTATACTCGCGCAAAAAGCAAAAAACAAAACAAAAAAAAAAAAAGACAAAAAAACAAAAAACAATGTAGTGCATTTCGATTCGATTTCACTGCATGGTTTTTATTATGGGAGAAATTATCTTCATCTCGAATAAAAAATAGTTGAAGATTTTTTCCCCGATCTTTCTTTTTTTTAGCTTTCGGTTTCATTCCAATTGTTCTCCCTGTGAAAATTGCTTTTTGGTACCTTCAATAAATTCTTGGTTGATGACCGTAATTGCCTAGATGGTTTGTAACGTTGAACAAGTTCAGTGAGATATTTTGGTGTCATTCCATTTAATGCCTCATATGTGAGAAGCAATATCTTATAGATAATTCTTTGTTTGATTGGAAGCCAATGTAGTTTGTAAAGAATTGGAGTTATGTGTTCTGATCTTTGAGTTTGTGATACCAGACKTGCAGCACAGTTTTGTACATACTGCAATCTATCAAGAACGTACTTCGGAAGGCCATATAGAATTGMGTTACAAAAATCTAACTTCGAGGAAATGAATGCTTGCACGAGTGTTTCGGCATCATCTTGTAAAAGACAGTTCCTAAGCGATGTTTCGTAAGTGGTAGAAGGCTGATTTGCAGGTGTTTCTGACATAATTCTCTAGGTTGATGTTCTTGTCAAAAACAACTCCTATGTTGCCTACATACTCAGAGCCAGTGATATAGTCATCAGCGACTTTATACCATCAATAGAGAGATGTTCCTTTTGTTGTGGACCAATCACTAGCAGTTCTGTTTTATCCGTGTTTAATTTTAGCCTGTTATTCAACATCCATGTATCTATTGCTTTGGCGCACGCTTCAATAGTTACTATGGAGACACCCTCTTTTTCAGGCTTAAACGCACAATATATTTTGGTATCAATGGCATAGAAGTGACATGATAAGCCATAGCTTCTGACAATATCGCCAAGTGGATATGTGTATAACAGATATGATATTGACATAGTGGCTTCGCCTCTACGAAGCAGTAGACACAAAAATTATACCTTACAGTTRAAAGTGAAAACTTTGCAGCTCAGTCTTGGGATTTCGTAGACCCGAAATATGTAGGTACTTACCACGTCGTATTTAATGGTCTTACTCATTGTCTTTTTCGTTTCTGTTTTTGGTTTACTTCAGCTAAGAATAGCTCGAGGATTTTTTTTTAGATCGGCTGGCTCATTCTTCTTCTCAATATGTGYTTGCATTGTGCTTTCTTTTTTGAACTTTTAATTGCTTGATAGTAAAATCCGTAAAATCTTTGCTTACCTTTACCTAAGATAAAATGGCTGCCATTTTCCCCATCCATTTGCTAAATTTCCCTYCAATTTTTCGTCACCATAATCTGTTATCTTATTGGTTAAAATCAATTTCTTTCGTTTGTTATACAATCAAAAGCGAGAATTCCGCTTCGTAATTGCACTGTATTACACTTTTCTGCACTGAATTACACTTTTTTTCACTGTATTACGTTTGAACAAAACTGCTCTAAGCCAATCAGAATTGAGTATTTTTTTTGTGTGTATGTTATTAAAATAATAATAAAAGTAATAATAACAATAATTTACTCAAATGAACATTGTATTTTGTTTCTATTTGATTTATGACTTAATGAAGGTACTGAAAATRTTATACGAAGAAGAATGCAATGTATGCATACTATCAGGCCCATGTCATASGAAACATCATTTTTTGTCGTGACGTCGGCTGAAAACATCTTATACCTACGACATTTTTGTCAACCACACATATA